AAGCAGTAGCTTGTGAAAAGGTTGTGGAAGGTAAAACAACACATCTGATAAACCTTGGAAATGAAGGAGAAATTTACTCTGCTGAGATGGAGTGCTACTTGACAGAGTGGGACTCTGTAACATTGCATCGTATTCAGTCTTCACTTTGTGCTGATCTCCCTCAAAATAATGGATGTGAGGAGGCTGGTCGGGCGTACTAAAGACTACAGTTCTGTTATACGAGGCGAGCGATAGAGCAGAGACCAAGCATTACCTGCTTGTCACTTGATGGTCCATTGGTGGCTGCGGTGTATAGAAGGCACCCGGATTAGCCTGTGGATTGCTACCTTGTAGGGCGATGCGTTGCATGCGAGCTGCTCGATCTCTTTTGTAGTATGAGCCGAACTTGTTTCTACCGCCTCGCATTCGGTCTTCACGAACAGCTAAGGAAATGAGGATTAGAGTAAGCCATCATCACTTTACATATCAGAGAATGATGCGTAGTTGCGCACGATTTTGCCGTTAGGTGTTCCAACCAGTGGACTGGCAGAACAATACCTAATGCCAATGCTCCCGCATGCCTACCCAACCTCTAATTATGAGAAACCGCCGCCATGATTACCGCTTTGTAGCAGCAGTAGTTGTGGTTCCGTACTCGCTAAGAATGCCATTTTTCCACAGAACTTGACGAAGATCACTTAGTTAGTCATATACATATTCAGTCTATGAGCGAGTTCTTGTCTGATTGGTAATGCATTGATTGTGATTATACAGAAGTGTGAAGGATTTGATTCACGCCACGGCAGAATATTGCTTTCTCAATCCCTACAGTATCGCTTGGGAAGGAATTCTTAGTTGCAGCAGTGTTCATCAGCGATCGCAGTAATCAGCGGAGAATGTGAATACAGCGCCTTTCGATTCACATTTGATGCTTCAAACGATCGATTTACTACGACCGGTTTTTTCGTCGCTAGGTGAATGCTCCCATTGCAGATGAAACGCAAAAATCCAAGCAGCGGGCGCGAACTTGGTAGAGTATTTGAACTTCGATAGTATGCTGTTTATGTATCCCCTGCTTACCTTCTACTTTCATTCCTTCGGCCATACATTTTGCAAAACGACAGCTGGGGCAGCGTTTTCGACAAGTCTTGTCGACGTGACAGGATGAATCCGCAGAACATTGATAGTGCTGAAAACATGCCAAATAGCTTAGGCTTTGGTCTGCGCTTGAACTCATTTGAGCCCAAAGGTGCGAATAAAAAATACGATATTTCTTGCATGAGACTGAGAGACTGTGGAAATGATGTGTGTCGATTGAGAGCAGAAACAATTGATAATTGATAAAATGCGACAATGCAAGTAATCACCTTCTTGTTCTGCACAGTTCGTTTGAAGAAACCCTGGAATGAAACGAAAGTTAGCTGACAGTAGAGACAGTGCAAAGTAACTGGCCTTGGACTACGACCCTGAACTCAAGGACTTACGTCTGCCTCGAGGGTAGTTGCAGAAGAGAAACCGTCATGGCCAGAGAAAGAAACCGTCATGGCCAAGGAAAAGGAAAGCCCGCAACTCACCTTGCAACTTTCGCAAGTTAGCAATCCGTAGTGATATCCAGAGACTCGATCGCCACACACCGGACAGGCTTCGGCTTCAAGCGCCGGCTTGAGAACGGTATCCACACCTACCATGGACCTCCTCGATGCCTAACACAGACCACAGCTCCCCATCGCACTGCGAGCCGCCCTCGCTCTGTGTCTCTTTCTTTGTTATACAATTTCACGATACGTCCAGCCCCTCCTACCGCGCCCACTCTCTTCCCTCAGTGGTGTTCGTGTGAGAGTGTGAAGGTCGTGAGCTGGTACTGTAATGGTCAAAAAGAGAGAGAGAGAATCCCGTGCCAGGTACGCAAGTTTACGCCTACGGTAAGCCGAGAGTTGAAATAAAATTTGTTTGTTAGAGAGTACAAGGCAGAACAACACAATGCAATTGTGCACACTATCTTCTCATCCTTGCAAGGCGTTGTCCAAGAGCTCTGTCTACAATGATTTGAAAACTCTGGTTTTGCCAAGAATGCCACCGTAGCTACCCTGCTATTGCAAGCTCTCCTCAGTTGTGCATAAGGACGCCGCTACTCACGCATGAAGGTCTGAGATAACAATCTTTGTGAGATATATTGTTCTCTGATAACAGCTAACTAATCATTGAGTGCAATATCAAGCACAATTATACTGTGCCCTAACTATGATAGCAAGGATTGACTTTGCGTAAGTTGTGAAGTAAGAGCTGCTAAATACGGTTTTTAGTCAAGTCGGTTTCGCGTTAAAGAAGCTGTTGGTTGGAAAAATCAATCCTTTATTCAGCCTACTTACATACACCTCTAATCCTTCAGCGATATCAGCAATAAGTTCCTATTTTTCGAGCTCTATGCCCATGTGAAAATCTCGCTATTTCTGCCGCGAAATCGTACCAATAGGGAGCTAGTTTCAAGAATGAAGGACGGTCGCTGAGGCTATGCTAGCAAGCGCGAGGAGGCTCATCTCAGGGAAGGCTAGAACAGGTTTGAAAAAGGAAAGCAAAAACTAGCAAAAAGGGACGCAGCGAAAGTATAGCGCTAAAAAAGGAACGAGCGCTGCGATTGCGTCCTTCTCAGATGTGGAAGAGGCAAAGTAGGGATCAAACGGATCATTCCTACTTATATTTGCTCTTGATGTTATGCTGTTGTTTAGAGACAACACTGGTTAATAATACGATACGAGCAATATTTACCATAAGTTCGATTTTCATCTAGATACATAAAATACACAGTAAGTCTCTATTCGGAATTCCTATGCTCCTCATTTACTAATTGCATTTTAACAGCAAAGGAAGTAGATTATACTTATTTCTGGGCTTATAATTAGATATTTCGTGCAGACAAATCTCCTGCGATTTTTCTTATATTTTCGAAACGACGCTGAGACACATTCCAAGTGTCAACTCATCTCTCCCACATTCCAAAAAAGAAAAGGATATACCGCCCTGTAATTATGCCCACTATGCCAGCTCTTTGCCTTTTCATGGTCTGCAGCGAGACACTATTCTGTAGAAGAATGGTACATGTTCGGAAGGCGAATGGTGAGAAAAAGAACTTATTTTCTTTTTATGTGATCGGGTTTTCCTCCTACTATTGACAGGCAACCATACAGATTCAGATGAGTGAGTTTTAGATTAAAGCAACTAATATGCATACATCTACGCCTGCTTTTGGTGGTAGATTTAATATAAAAATACGTCGACTCAAGGTAATCTGTAAGAAACATTCTGTAAAACTGAGGATGAAGGCCATCGCATTTCCAGTGCAAATTGCCACTATAGTTCTCCTACCGTCATCGAAACCATATAAGCTCAAACCTCAAACAGCTCTGATTGACCATAGGTAACAATGTATCCTTTCAGATTGTTTAACTAAAGACTCTTCTAAAAAATCCAGGATTCCGACCATCCATAGCATTAGAAATTGATTGCTATGCATTCAGTTATGACCTTGGAGACACGGCAGTCACTTTTACAATCTCCAGCAGTCTGTGCTACACTTCTCCATGAAAAAGGAAAATGCTAGATAACATTTCACAATGGCAGATTTTGGAGCGATAAACTATTTTATTTACATTCGAATTCGTATGAGATATTCTACATGTACCATCTTGAATATAGTAATTGTATTATATTATGATAGTCGTAAGGTTTCAAGGTACTACATGAATTCTCTACGGAACTCAAAATCTGACTGTTACCTTCACTGTAATTTGTGAATGAAGTAAGATTTCCCTTATGTCACGGTTCAAAATCAATCGAAGGTAAAAGTTCAATTAAATGCTAGCTGCCGAATCTATGTAAAAAGCAGAGGCTAAGTTGTATAGCGTGCGATCGTACTGTGTCTATGGATGAACACATCACTCTCCTTGTGTATAACCTAATACGTATAGCTTCCGGAATTTCACTCTTGGCAGTTAGAGAAGCAAATCTTTCCTCGCCGCCCTCGAGAAACAGTAGTTGCAGAACCAAAAGCTTTTCTGAACCGGGCATATACTATGATCAGGTCAGAAACGTGGCGACGCCATGTACGTATGGTTAACGATGGCAGCGACTCTGCGGCATCATGCGGAAATTCGCACGCGCGCTCTCATCAACTTGCTTTACATCAATGAGCATTTCATTTTTTTTGACTCGCGAAACTCAGTATCGTTTCCAATGGCTTGCTTCTATAGAGTGGGGCATTCGAGGGGGCATTCGAGCGGCATGCACCCACTCCGCATTTTCTTGGTTTGGATCTGTACTCGACTGGTTTTTCTGCTTACGCGTGATAGTATCTGGACACTGAAAGCGACTGAGCTAAGCGTTGAGGTGATGCCTTTTTTGTATGAGTGCTCTATGTTCGTCACGATTTAAATGACCTATACAAGCTCTGGCTCCAAATCATACGCACGCGCAAATGGAGCAAACTTGAACAAAACTTTGAAATCAAAGCGTTGTGTCGTCGATTTCTGATGCAGCTCCGCCAGGCGGTTAGTAATTTGGTTCAATGCTGTCTAATTTAGCTTTGTTTTCCCTGAAAGTTTGAGGCAAAATATAAAGATCCATTTGGCATTCAGGCAAAATGCTGCTGTCAATCATTATTTCCATACTTTTCTGTGAAGTATATTCCAATTAGCAAAGACTGCAAGCCCTAGAACTTTTCTATTCAGCAGAAGAATGTGTGCTGGTTAGTTGTCCATTGATCCACAGCACAGGCAACTTCACTTTACACATGTTTGACCATAAGCTTACCCACACCATGTGAGCTTTACCCATCGTATGGTTCTGTTCACCAATACTTGCCAGAGCTTTTTAGGCGCTGGCAAGTATTGGAGGTTTTTAGGCGCATCTGTTATCGATGCATATGATGAAAGGATTCACCAAACTAACCTACGCTAGCACTAATGTCATTACTTGTTCACTGAGAAGAAAAATAGCGTCGTTACAAAATCACAAAATAATGACTTAAAAATCTCATTCTAATCGAGGGGCATTTTACTCGACTTAACTTATGTTGTCTTAACTTTGTTAGTTACTCAGATTTCACAAATCAAATGTGTGAAAAACTTAATCGATTTGGGTACTGCTCACTTTTTGGCTGAAATTTCTCAGTTCAAGTAAAATACGCGTTCTCCTTGAAAATCTTCTTACTTTAATGAAGAATGGTTTAGATCGGAATGGCACAACGCCTGATTCAATGTAAGTTTCTTCTGGGCGAAAGTGAAGCTCCATGTACATGTACAGCTCCATGTTTTGGAGCAACAAGGGAGTATCGTTTTTGCGGGGTCCATGGCGAAGCCCCGGGAAAAATTTTTGCACATGTTCACTAGCGAGGTATGTGGTGGAAATT